TGAATAATTTGCTTTGAAATGTGTAATGATTTCAACACAACTTTGGATATTCATTCAAAGGTCCATCTAACCAAAACTTCATGTTGCAAGATATTCAACGTTAGTAAATCTTTCAAAAGAAATCAATTCGAATAATCCATATTTAAATTCTTTTATTAGATTGTTGATATTTTCGCATCGTTATAAATTCGTTTGTGATATTTGAAACAGTGAACACAGAGCTTATTATGTACACAATCCGTATATTTACTACAATCGTGAGTGTTGTGAACTAAACACTCATCGCAGGATTCATCCTCTTGACAATATTCACATTCATAACGATGATTTGATTCCATTTTTGAGTTAAAATGCTTGAATTTGTTTTAAATGATAGAAAGCAAATAAGATATAATCGTTGTTGTTTTATAGTAAGTAGGGATCCAAATTCTATGTGCAGTTTTTTATTATTTGGGTGTGTGCAGACAGCATACAATGTACATGTATCGGTATTATTAAAAGAAGGCTTATTTAAATACATATACATAGTTTTAAAATGAGTATATGTATTACATGTATTTTAATTGTTTGTGGTTATCGCGTGTGTTTTTATCGCTGGGTTAGCTATTTAATTCACAAAAACAGTGATGATATATTCATTTATTTTGTTCATAGAATGCAAAGAAATTGCAATTACTTTCGTTAAAATCAGTTAATTTTATATCGATTTCGTTAAGTTACTTTGATAATTACATGTACAGTCGCCACAAAAGTACCGTAATTTGCCGCATAAACCACCCGGGGGGTCTCTTGTATGGGGGAGGGTCTTTTATCGGGGGGATCTTGTATTGGGGGGTCTGATATTAGGGGATCTTTTGTACGGAAATATCTAAACCATCAGAAGCCTAAATTTCACATGTTAATTTTATCGAAAAACGCGTTGGTATTGACGCGATCTTAAAGACATTTTTCAACTTTAACTTGGGTGAGTAATAAATTCATGTAATGTTTGTAATTAAACAATATATAAATTATCTTTATATTAAGGTCAAAATGGTTCGCAATATAAATAATCAAAAGCGAGCTATTGTAACTAAGAAAAAAAAGCGTGGATGGAATGCTCGGGAAAAATTGGCTATATTAACATATTTAAGGAAAAATCCTGATGCTAGTATTCGAAATACAGCCTTAAAATTTGATATCCAACCCAACCAAATACGAGATTGGCGAAAAAAACAAGCACAATTCAAGTCAGCTGCTCCACATGTTAAGCATCTCAATATTGGATTTTGTCCAAAATATCCTGCACTTGAAACTGAACTAATTGATTGGGTTCAAGAATTGCGAAATCAACAAAAGGTTGTTTCTCATTATATGGTAAGGCTTGGCTTGCAAATTAAAATTAATTACAATGTATCCATCAATTACTGAATGCAAATGGACTGAAAAATGGTTAGATGGATTTATGCGTCATTATAATCTAAGTAATCGTCGACGTACAACTGTTGCACAAAAATTACCTGAAGATTTGGAAGAAAAACAACATGAGTTTTTAAGCTTTGTACTGTATCGACGCATTCAATGTGATTATCCTTTAGCACTTATTGGCAACATGGATGAAACACCAATGTGGTTTGGCATGCCAAGTACTATCACAATTAATAAAAAAAAATGCAAGTACCATTAGCATTTGTACATGTGGACATGAAAAATCTCACTTTACCGTAGTACTTACATGTTTAGCTAATGGAATGAAACTACCACCAATGATTATTTTCAAACTTTTCCAAATGGTGTTATAATTCATACAAATAGAGAAGGATGGATGAATGCTGATGAAATTTTATGGTGGATAGAGAATATTTGGACTCATCGTGTAATATTAGCTATACATCTGCAATCTTTATTAGTACTTGATTCTTTTAAAGGACATTTAACTGATCCAGTAAAATGACGATTAATGAGCACAATACCAATATTGCAGTCATTCCTGGGGGATTAACTTCAAAATTGATGTGGCAATAAACAAGTCTTTCAAATAAAAGGTAATTAAATATAATTCTTTGAATTAATATTAAGTTATTTATATTTATTATATTAGGTTCGAAAACTTTATAATGAATGGATGGCTGAAGAAATAAAAAAATTAACACCCACTGGTCGTATACAATGTCCCGCCTATCATACAGTCGCAGAATGGGTTGATATAGCATGGAGAAATATTGATTCAGTGCTTATTCAAAGATCATTCAAATGCTGTGGTATATCAAATGCGCGAGATGATTCTGAAGAAGATCTTATATTTGATTATGATCAAGTTAGTGAAAACAAATTGTGAAGCAATAATTACATATTTGAAGATGAAGAAAATACTAATATTAATACTAATGGAGAGAGTACAAGTATCTTGGCAGATGAATTATTGGTAAGTGATGAAAATAGAGAGAATTCAAGTGTCTTGATGGATGAATTATTGGCAGGTGACGAAAATGAAGAGAGTTCAAGTATCTTGGCAGGTGATGATATTACTGAGAATAACGAGAATATAGAGTATTATGAAAGAGAATCTCTCAATTATTCCAATCTTTGGAACTAATTGTGATGTGAGGATTAGAATAAAAAATAAAGAATCATTAGTTTTAGATATGAGTTGATTTATAGATTAATATATACATTGTAATAAATAAAATTTTAACATAATTTTAATATATACAGTACTTATATTATGATTACTTAACTATTCTTCATTCGCAAAATGGCAGTATAATGATCATTACATGTTTACTATTCTCTAAATCCTTATCACCACACTACAGATCCAGGTCTTTTACTTTCAATATCTTATCAAACTCATGATTCAGATCCGGGTCTATTAAATAGAGGGTCTACTATAATGGAGGTGGTTTATGCAGCAAATTATGGTAATGCCTGATTTGCATGTGTAACAACATAGGTAAATATATGCGTTATGTTTTTCCATTTTTTGTTATTGTTGACACTAATTTTTTTTCCTCTTTTATTTTTAAACATACATTAGATAAAATTTTTTAGATACAAATATGATACCTGTTATACCAATAGGCCATCTTTGACAAGAATAAAAATAATGATTTTTATGAAATTATAAGTGTCAAGCAAGTTGCAGAAAAAATGTGATAGAACCCAGTAAGAGTATAATAATCTCTTGCCAAGTACAAAAGAGACAGGAAAAATAAAATTTATCACTGTTGGGAAGATCAAAGGCTTTTAAAATCAAGAAAAAATGCGTTTATACAAGAAGCAAAAATGTCATCCTGAGCCATTTCACAATATTAATAATAAAAAACTCATGCAAAAGCTTATTTGAAGATTCTTTAAGATAATTTAGTCCCTTTTTATAATATAATTTGTTTATTAATTTGAGAGAATATGATGTTTTAAAAAAATAAAACTTGATTTATATTAGAAAAAGAAGCTATAAATAGAATTAAATAAAGAAATCAATGAATATTATATTCTTATAATCCAAACTTCATAGAAAGATCTCCAAGTTATTGGAAAATAATATTCTAAAATATAAAAAATCATGAAAAAGCTCAAGATTACTCTGAAAAAAATTTGGTATATTAATTTTTTAGAAGATTATAAACTCAATATCTTGAGAAATCAAAGTGATATTAGAGTTATATAAAGAGTAAATAATGTATTATTTTATTAAAATCTATAATTCTGAAAATCATAAAGAAAGTTATTCTAATTAATAAATATTTTATAATACTAAATATTTTCTGACTTCTTATTTTTCAATATTTTTTAGTATCATATTTATAATTATTTATATCTTTTAATTATAGTATTCTTTAATATACAAGATCATATTATATCTCTATTTTCTAGTATATATTATTAATATTGAAGATTATAATAATTTATCTGCTTGATTTTCTATATTTTTTAGTATATATTATTAATAATTATAATAATTATCATTTTTTTTCATTTTTCTAGTATTCTTCAACATAATTATTTATACTTATTAGTATAGTAAATCATATTACTCTTAATTTAGTAACTCTTTATTACTATCTAATTTATTAATATAATAAAAAAATTAATAAAAATTAAAATAGTATATTTTTATATATAATAATAAATAATAAAATATATAAAATAAATACTCTCAGATTTTAAATCAAATAGAAATAAAATTATATATATTAATTTTTTAAAGAAACATTTATAAAATTATTTTATAAGAATTATAATTTTAATATATTAGTTAAGTTCTTTTTATTATAAAAGATAATAAATTAAATTAGATTCTTTAGTTCTAAAAAGATAAAAAATTATTTTGTTAATAATTATAAATAAGATAAAATATAATATAAATAGTTTTAATTTATAAACTTATGATTTTATTATTTAAATGATATTCAGATCTAAGATAAAAGTACAGAATAGAAAAGATATATTTATAGTGAAAGAAATAAATATAAAGTATAAATAAATTAATAATAAATTCTATAATTAAATATATAATTTAACAAAATTAATTAACTTAATTTGCATCTTCAAATAATAACTAATTATAATCTAATAATTATAAATAATATAAATAATATAAATAATATAAATAATAATATAAATAGTAATAAAAAATAAATGAATAAAATTATAAAAGAATTATTTAATTAAAAATATTAATTATTTAAATTAATAATATAAATACATATGATAATTATTTGTATAATAATATATTAAATCTAATATATTAAATATATATATGATTATCTATATATTCAAAATGAAATTAATCTTTAAAAAAAGTGATACAGAAGCTAATTTATTATATAAATAATACAAAATAAAGATCTAAGCTAAAAAAAAGATAACTTAATCAAAATTATTACATATTCTTCTACTTAAAGTATAATATTATTATTATATTTAAGTATATAATTTTTCAAAGATATTTATCTTCTTTGTAATATTTTTTAAATTATCAAGAAATTTTTAAGTTATATTATAAAGAGAATAGCTAAGTTATTTAACTAGATATTAGAATTTTTGATAATGAATTCTCTTATCAAGAATATTTTCTATCTCATATTCTTTTTCATTATCAAAGATAATAATAATTAGTAATAACTAATATCTATTGTACTTATTATCTGAATTATATATCTTTAATAAAGAAATATAAAATATTAGATATAATTTTATAATATTATCACTATAGTAGCATAAAAATCCCTAATTCCTTAATCTTTTTGTGATTATGCAAAATCACATTTTCTTATAACTTTTATATTTTATAATTATCCCTATATTTTTACGTTATATAACTATCCTGTATTACTATATTTATTATCACATTTCTATATTT